GTGGGTGTACAAAGCGAAGAAGAATTCCAAAGGAGAAGTTGAAAGATACAAGGCAAGATTAGTGGCAAAAGGCTACAGTCAAAGGGCAGGCATCGACTATGATGAGGTATTTGCCCCTGTTGCTCGATTGGAAACTATTAGACTAATCATCTCTTTGGCAGCTCAAAATAAGTGGAGAATACATCAGATGGATGTAAAATCTGCCTTCTTGAATGGAATACTTGAAGAAAAAGTCTACATTAAACAGCCACCAGGATATGAAATCAAAGGGCAAGAAGACAAGGTTCTAAAGCTAAAGAAGGCTCTATACGGGCTAAAACAAGCACCAAGAGCATGGAATAGTCGAATAGACAAGTATCTGCAAGAGAATGACTTCATTAAATGTCCTTATGAGCATGCTCTTTACATCAAGAATGAGGATGAAAATGTCTTGATTGTTTGTTTATATGTTGATGACTTGATCTTCACAGGAAGTAATCCAAGCATGTTTGAGAAGTTCAAAGAAGTGATGACAAAGGAGTTCGAAATGACAGATATTGGGCTCATGGCATTCTACCTTGGCATTGAAGTCAAGCAAACGGAAGATGGGATCTTCATCTCTCAAGAAGGTTATGCAAGGGAGATATTGAAGAAATTCAAGATGGAGAATAGTCAACCTATAAAAACCCCTATAGAATGTGGAGTCAAGCTATCACAGTTTGATGAGGGAAAAAGAATTGATCCAACATTTTTCAAGAGTTTGGTTGGAAGTTTGCGCTACTTAACATGCACAAGACCTGATATTCTTTATGTTGTTGGACTTGTTAGTCGCTACATGGAAACTCCAACTGTTACCCACCTGAAGACTCCTAAAAGAATTATGTGCTATATCTAAAGGCTACTCTAACGTGAGATTGTTTCATATTTGTTTCTTTAAATTTGATGAGCAATTCATTGTTTCATTGCTTTTCAAATTGTTTTTTCCGTTAGTTTTCCATACTCTTTTGGTTTTAATAACCCGAGGCAGACATATTCCTGCTAAACAGGGAAACAATGTCATTGTTGAAGAAGAATCAAAAGGACTGAACCCTTCATTGATAGTTCTGTTAGTCATCGTTACTTTACTCCTGCTATTTTTCGTCGGAAACTACGCTCTCTACGTGTATGCCCAAAAGACACTTCCGCCGAAGAAGAAGAAACCCATCTCCAAGAAGAAGATGAAGAAAGAAAGGCTCAAACAGGGCGTTTCTGCACCTGGAGAATAAATAATAAACTCTGCTCATTGAGTCTCTAATCCATATCTTTCATGTCAGTTTATATTTCCTGAAGAAATTGTTAGGTGTGGACTGTGTAAGATAGGTATTTAATTGCAGCATTGCATCATGTCAGCATGTGTCTTCCTTCTTGCTCATGATTCAGACTGGGAGAGGCTGGTTGCTTGGATTAGGTTATGGCTTTCAGTTATGCTCGTGAAAATAATGATTTGATATTTCGGCTCTCTTGTTGTTGTGAGTCTAAAGAGCCAAGCTCAATTTTGGTCTCTCTCTCTCTCTCTCTCTCTCTCTCTCTATCTCTCTTCGTTGGCACTCAAAATAATGCTATTTACAAAACTAGCACCGTCTTTCATCCATTTTTCAAGTTCTCACGCATATTGGTAAGGGAAGTTTACATATGTAGCATAGAATTCTTATGTATTTACGTATCTCGCACCAAAACTTTCATATTGGCATACATACATAGCATTTTTGTTGCTTTAAATTTTGTGCATGAAAATGTGTATTCGACTTCTAAAAAAATGATAATAGTGGTAATAGTGTTACTATATTTGACGTGACATTAAAGAATAGAGCGTATGTATGTGTGTAAATTTGAAAGTTTAGATGCGAGATATGTAAATCCGTTAGAATTGTGTGATATGTATGTAAATGGATCTATTAAAATTCACAATAAAATCCCAACATGTTATTTTTTTTATTTTCATCATATTCTCAATGCTTTGATCGGGGCGCGCTTTAATTCTTTGGTTTGGTAGTTTAAAAAAATTCACTTCGGTGCTAGTTTTATAAATAGCATTGTTTCAAGTGCTATGTATGTAATTATTCTTCTTGTCGGTGAAATGTTGAGCAGAAAGTTTGGAAGCACAGAACCTTCCGATCATAAAATTTACTTGCTGTTGCTGAGTTTGTTCCGAGTCATCGTTAGCTGGGTTTGAAGCAGGCAGTCTATCTTGTTTGTTGTTCTTCTAAAATGCAGATCTATGATGTATTTCTTTGCCCTCTTATCTTTGGAGAAAGCGACAGAGAAGCCACGTACAAATGTGGTTGTTTGTTGTTCTTCTTCTTCGGCGGAAGTGTCTTTTGGGCATACACGTAGAGAGCGTAGTTTCCGACGAAAAATAACAGGAGTAAAGTAACGATGACTAACAGAACTATCAATGAAGGGTTCAGTCCTTTTGATTCTTCTTCAACAATGACATTGTTTCCCTGTTTAGCAGGAATATGTCTGCCTCAATCCATAATGATGTACCAGAAAATACAATATTTTTGTTACTTGACCAACCATCAGAAGAAGCAAATACAACGGGTACACTAATCAGTAAGATTAATTGTTGAGAAAATTAAGGCGAAGAAAAACAATAATCGACACAAATCCAGAAGAACACAAAGATTTAACGAGGTTCGGCAAAGATGCCTACGTCCTCGGGAGCAGAGCGGCGAGTTCCTTTCAATATTCAGAAAAGAGTTTACAGAAATCAGGGATTCCTCCTGGGGTTACTAACAGGCCTATTTATAACCCCAGGAGTAAACCTAGGCACAATATGTAATTACAACATTACCCCTGTACCAAACCGCGGGGCTTTGCCCCCGCACCCCAACCCACGTAACTTCCCAATTTGGACAGATTCTTCCGCTCCGCTCTGCTCCGCTTCGATCCAGCGTCTGTCCCGATATGGTATATGAGCCATACCATAACAAATCTCCACCTTGGCGAATATCCAGCCCCTTAGGAGAAAAATACCTGGGAGTTACACCTGCACCACT